TCGACCACGGCAGGTAGATGCCGACGACACGCCGGCTGCTCGGCTCGGCGCAGCCTCGCGCCTCAAAGGCGTCCGCGTAGGCCTGCGCGCGCTCGTACGCCTGGCGCAGCGTCAGCGCCGTCTCCTCATCGATGAGCGCCTCCTCGCCGCCGTGCTCGGCGAGGGCGAGCGAGAGGAGAGGCCGCCACGGGTAGGCGTCAGGGTGCGGCCTCGTCGCGTTGTACTCCTCGAACGCGCGCACCGCGCCACTCGCCGCCGCCGACACATCCTTGGCCAGAGACTCGCGCAAGCCGGCAAACACTGCTGCCGCCCCGGGGCACGAGACGGGGGAGCCGGAGAGATCGTCCACCCACGTGGTCGGCACGTCCACCCCTTCGAGGACCGCCGCCGCCGCCGCCACGTTCCCGCCGTCGTGCACGACCACGATGCGCACCAGGCACGCACCGCCCTTGCTCGCCGCGTCGGCGAGACGCTGCGCGGCGCCGGCCTGGGAAGCGCTGAGGAAGAGGGCGAGCGGCTTGTCCAGGACCGAGGCCTCGCCGAGCCGGCTTACGAGCTGCTCGTCCTCGGGGTCAGACTCGACAAAGCAGTCGTACTCGGCCAGCTCGTGCGGGATGCGGTACGCCCAGCCGGCCTTGTCGTCGGCCGCGGCCGGAATGGAGAGGATGGCCGCGAGGCGCTCGCCGTCGGCGGCGGGCTGCGAGACCTGCTGCAGCGCCGCGTGATTCGAGAGGGTGCGCATCGCCCTTCCGCAGCCTTCGGTAGCGCCGCGAGAAAGAATTCAACGAAAAGAACTCTCTCTCGGAGCACACAGGTTAACACTAACCGAGAACGTCGCCTCGAGACCATGGTGCGCGCGCCCGCCACCCCCGTGCCCATGGCGGCACGCGCGCGCGAGCGCGCGGTAGTAGGAGTAGGCTGCGTGACGAATCGCGCTGGTGGCTTGCCACCGGCTGCTGATCCACGGGAGCACCGACCCGAGCAGCAACACAATGCGCGCAAAACAGCAGCACATTCAGCGACCAGGAGAGCACCAGCCGAGGGGCTGCCCGCCGAGGCCCGAGCACGCGAGAAAGCGCGAGCGCAGGAGGCGACGCTCGGAAGCGCGGACAGGTTGCGTGAGGTAAGCGGCAGGGGGGGGCGGGGGGGGTTCGCAGTCAGAGGATACGGCCCATGGGCGGGGCTGGGGTACGGTTGGAGAGTGAGAGGTCGCGTCGAATCCTCACACAGGCCTCTTTTGCGGAATGAGGACCTCGCCTGCAGTGAGGACCTCGGCATCAGAGCTCAGCAAAGTCAATATTCGGGGAAGCGAAGGCGGCACGGAAGATGCGGGGAGGGCGAGGGAGGGTCTGTGGGTCAGAGGGGGAGAGACACGGCCCTTTGGGACTGGCCGGAAAAGATGGTCCCCCTGGGGAGACTGACCACCGATGAGTGAAATGAACAGGAAGGGAGGAAGGTAGCATCAATGTAGCCTCTATCTGTGCACTGGTGGGCATCCGCCATGTAGAATTCTTCTCAGTCGTTCTTCACACGGCAATCGCAGAGCAGATTGTGAATGAGCTTGCCAGCGGCGAGGGCGGTCGAGTGCACGGAGCTAAGTGCCTCGCCGTCCGAGAGAGAGAGAGAATTCTTGATACGAAACCACGACGACACACACCAGTCGACTCGCATCGGTTGCCTCCATGAACGGCGGAGCTATTCTCGCGCCCACACCACACCTGGCTCCAACGTGGACACGCCCATAGCTGGGGACACTACTAGGTCACGCATGGCATCACAGAAGTTTTATCTCTGGGCCCCGAAAGGCATCTCTAGCAGTGTCGTTACGCATGCCCCCTCCCATCCTGGGCGCATGCGCCTCACGTCTCGCCAGAGCATAAGCCCTTGGCGTGTGGCGAGACGAGTTTTTCGCCATGCAGCGAGCAGCAAGCCGCCCGCCACAAACAGCCGGAGGCATCGCCACGGCACTGGCTGCGCCGCGCTCCCGCACCCGTCGACGCAGCTCCCCCCGCGGAAGACCGCGCGTAGCGACGCCTTGACGATCGAGATGAGCGTGCCTGAAGCTCGCCCACCTACTGCCCCTGAGAGTTGGTTATGAGTGGGCTCGGCTCCCCCCCTTGGGATCGAAGCTTCCACGACCTCACACCCAACATTCCAGGCGGGATCAGAAGGGGACTCCACACCGGACACCGCCCGGGCACAGACCCCCTACCCGTCGGATCGCACAGGGCCCCCTCGGAGCAGCCCACACACAATCACGCATCGGCAGATTGAGTGCCTGAGTCAGGCAGACAGCACAGACAAGAGGAGAGAGAGGAGAGAGAGAGAGAGAGAGAGGAGAGAGGAGAGGGTGAGGGTGTGAACACACGTGAGGAGTGGGGGAGGGTGTCTGTGGTGGGCTGTAGTCCTACTACGTGGTTACAACCACGCGCCCCTCAGGAGCTTAAGGTAGAGCTGAGCGTCCAAGACGCCTCGGTGCCACCCACCGGCGTGAAGACCATCCGGATCTACCGAGCTCGTCCTCCGGACGGACCCGTCCCCGCGATGGCCCACGGTCCTCCGTCGCCTGGTTGAACCCCCTGCCTCCCGGTTGACCCCCCAGATGTCGTAGTCCATCATGAAATAAACTCAAAGTCCACCAGCCACCAGCCTCCACCTCCACCATCGACGCCGCCACCGCTGCCGCCCGCGACGCCGCCCGCCGCGTCGGATTGCCGCGACACGCGCCTCGAGTCCAGTCGGAGAGCCGCGCCGCATCAGCAGCAGCATCAGCACCAGCACCACCAGCACCACCAGCACCACCAAAACCAGAGAGAGGCGCAACCTGCCCGACGCCGCCGTGTCAGCTGCTCCCGACGCGCGTCTCGAGCCGAGTCGCAGAGCCGCGCCGCGCCAGCAGCAGCATATGCAACAGCATCAGCAACATCACCACCACCAGCAG